TCAAAAACCAAATTTACAGAAATATAAAGGTGTATGTGAATGACACAATAATAAAAAGTAAAAGCCTGACTTAAAACTTAAAGAACCTAGATAAGACCTTTAATACCTTGAAGAAATACAACATAAGACTCAACATGAGCAAATGTGTTTTTGGAGTCACGTTGGGCAAGTTTCTCAATTATATGATCAATAAAAAAGGCATAAAGGCAAACTCAAAAAAAAGTTTAGGCTATCTTGGACATGAAAACACCAACTTCAATGAAAAAAGCACAAATATTAACTGGGAGAATAGCTACCTTGAGTAGGTTTATATCCAAGTCAATAGATTGTTGCTTACCATTTTTCAAAATCTTTAAGAACTTTTCAGACTTCGAATGGACACCCAGTGCTAAAAGCATTTAAAAAGCTTAAAAGTTTCTTTTCTCTCCTCATATTCTCTTTAAGTAGAGACCCAACAAAGTATTATACCTATACCTTGTTATAACAGACTAGGCTATCGGTTCGGGGAAGAAGAAAAAAGATAAAAGTCGATATGCTTTATAAGTAAAATGTTGACAGGGTCAAAGATAAACTGTGCTAAGATAGAAAAATTATCTTATATAGTAATCACATCAACCAATATGCTTAGACTATACTTTCAAGCTCACACAATTTATGTTTTAATTGACCAATTACTTAGCCAAGTTTTACAAAAACCAAAATTATTGAGAATACTAATCAAATAAGTAGTAGAACTTAGTGAATATGATCTGTATATGCTTAATAAGTTAACTCTAAAATCGCAGGTGCTAGCAAATTTTTTTATGAAAACATCTCGCCTAGGACCGACAAACAGCCTCATGAGGGTAAAAAGATTAGGAAAAAAAATGTGAAAACTCTTCATCTATGGGTCAATCACCAACCATAGAAGTGGAGTCGATATAATTTTGATCAGTCTAAAAGATCTACTTTAATACGCCTTAAAGTTTGGGTTTAAAGCTTCTAACAATGAGGCTAAACATGAAGCTCTATTTCTCGGCCTAAGACTAGCGATCGAGTTGAATGTGAAAAGTATCATCATATATAGTAACTCCCAGTTGGTAGTCGATCAATTAAATGAAAGATTTGAAGCTAAAAAAAAAAAAGAATACAAAAGTAGTTAGATAAAACATTGGCTCTTTTTGTCAATTTCTTTAAGGTCGAGGTTAAAAAAATATCGATATCAAAAAATACTTTAGTTAATTCATTACATAAGTTAGCCTTGGGAATGACAACAAAGAGCTCAACCCGCATTCTTGTGGAAGAGCTAGCATAGAATAGTATAAACGAGAAACTAGTTAACTTTGATACACTACATCCCTTATTTGAAAGGCCAAAGTTTACCCTCAAAGATCGAACACGATAAGCAAAGCATATGTTAGGGTAATCCTTAGGGTAAGCCCTGCCCTTTAAGTTCTTCATCACATCATTAAGGTTTAAACTTAAGAAACAAAGACTAAAGAATGGGACTTGAGCCAAGTTCTCTTAATCTGAGAAAGACTTATCCTCATATTCATATTCCTTAGCCTAGTTGGTCTCTTTATTCTATTCTCTATCAGAATCCTCTTCATCATCAAAGTTTTCATGTCAGAAGTCTCATACTCTTGAACAAAAATAGAATTTGTAGCAGGAACAGTGGCGAAAAGTGCCACAATGTCAAAGGAAAAAGAGGTATAAAAAACTCCTTAAATAGAGAAAAAAAATAAGAAACATCAACAAAGGCTTGCTCAGTAAAAAAAGGGACAGTCGAAAAAAGGATAGAAGGCTAGACCTCAACAAAAAGAATAGCAAAAGAAGAAAAAAATTAGCCAAAAAAGTCATACTGACCTGAAACATAAAAATTAAAAAGTTCTCAAACTCAAAGTCAATAGTGGCCATAAGATTATCTATACTCTGATAGACCAACTTTCCTATAGTATGGGCATTATCCTATGCCCTATTCTGTTTTTCTTCGATCTTTGGGTTCAGCCAAAATGCAATACTTATGTAATTTTTCCCAATGAATAGAGGGACCATATCATTGTCGTCTCCATTTTTAAGCTGATTTCCAATGAAAACTACCTTGTAACTTATTGAACCCCTAAAACTTGCACTAAAAAATATTATAAAAAAGGGAAAAAATGTACTAAAATAAGAAGGAAAAAAGGTTGGTTGAAAGAAAGTAAGAACTTTAAGTTCAATAAAAATAGGTCAATTTGAAAGAAAAAATAATAAGATGAAAAATGAAGGTTTCAAAAGGCCCTTTATATAGCCAACGTTGAGATTAAATGAAATGCCCAAATTATGCCACATGTTCAAATGATTATCGAGGTGACCTTTTGCCTTTTCAGTTCTAAAATTTTATAGTCTAAATATCTCTATCCTCATTAAATGTAATTTTTAAATAACAGAGAAGCAAATCGATCATTCCACATATTCAAATTGGCCAAATTGATCATAAAACCTTAGGCAGACCAGTCGAACAGACCAATTACAAGTTCAACCTTAAGTTAGACCTCAGAATCCAACTTTATAACTAAGAAAAAATATAAGTCTTATGTTGGAAGTATGAGTCATGCCAGTAATCATTCACAATCTTACTCAGCTTACCCTTAAACCACTTTGACATAAGTCACTTATCTCGATAACCTTAGAATGGACCAGCTAAGCGTATAACCTAAAACCTACTCTTAAGATCAAGCACTTCACTTATAATTACACGTGAGGTTGACACATTTTAGTGCAAGAAAGGCTATACTCAATAGCTTACAATTGGCCATAAACCTCTTACTCAACCCTCATATCAGCCTTGAGAACATTCAACCTCGGTAGCATAAGGTCCAGTCTAAAGCATAAATTTTTAAAAACCTATGCTCAAAAACTCGAGGTTAGACTAGCGAACACGTGTACCAAAAGGGCTCAATTAGACATCTATCAGTCTGATACTTGACTACTTAGTGAAAAGATAAAATGTTCGAGGTATTTTTGGGTCTAGAGGGCAAATTGGTCTTTTCTCTCGTTAGAGATACAGACAGAGATATTTTTTACTTTTGGGCTAACCTAATATGTACAGCGCCATGTTAGCTCGGCTACATCATTATCTTATCTCATGACGCTTCATCTTTTACCTATAAATAGTGTCATCCAAGTATTATCTATCTAATTTAACTTTTTTCTTATTTTTCTCTTCTTTCGACTCTTTTTATCTTGACTTCTGATTTGAAAGTCAGAATGTAAATACAGATAACACCCCATGCCTTTGCTATTAATCTTTTTTTTTCTTTTATGATTTTAAGATATTATCCCTTAGCTCGAAGTTTGGCACTGCGATCAGCTACACCAATTTGAACCTTAAGAATAAAAATCTTGGTTTGAGAAAGAGGTTTAATGAGACCAGCAGCAAGTTAATCCATGGTGGAAATGTAATATACTTGAAGCTAACCATTTTAAACATGTTTGGGCACAAAGCGATACATAGCCAATAGCTAAATATTTCATCCATAAGCAAAAAATAGAATTAGCACTTAGATACATAGGTAGCTTAATTGTTGTCACAGTGAATTATTGGTGTATGAGTAGAAGATATGTGCAATTCAACTAGAAGATTATGCATCCAAACAAGTTTGGCTGGATTATGGCTCCATATACAACTTCAGTGAAAGATCAAGCCCATGACCTTTATTTATATAAATGAGTTCCAAGAGAAAGGATTGCTACCTTGATAGATTATATTAGTGTTGAAGTGTAATCATCCAAGTCTCTAGCCTGATCAGAACCACTAAAGGCAGAGAAATGCAATTGAAAGTTTTTCTTTAAATGAAGACCATAATAGATGGTGCCGTTGAGGTACCTTTAAGATTCTTTTCATGCTGGATTTCATGGTCCTAGAAAGGAAGCATGAATCTCACATCGGCTGTGTATTAGAGTTAGTTTTGGGATATAAAGGTTCACACCACCTTCAACTTGTGATACGCCTTTTGTGAGATAAAACCGTGAGGTCAGCGGACCAGAGCAAATAATACCTCACAAGTTAGTGTGGATCGTGACATTTTAGTATTAGAGTCGATTTTGGGAGTACTAGCGATGTGTCACCGAGGCGGTGGGCCTTCGTTGAAATGGAAGAGGATGTCATGGTTCTAGAGAGGAGCCATGAATCCCACATCAGTTGTGTATTAAAGTTGGTCTTGGGATATAAGGGTTCACACCACATTCAATTTGTGAGGCACCTTTTGTAGGAAAAAACTGTGAGGCTAGCAGGTTAAAACGGATAATACCTCACAAATTAGTATGGACCATGACATTGGACCTGTGATAGAAAGATACTACAATGAGTCAACCAACTTTTTGTAGACAGTGCCATCTTTCACTTTTGGTTTCACATTTGTAGCCATGCATAGGAGTAGCAACTCGTTGGCATTGATCATGTCAAGTTTCTGAATAATTTTCCTGATATATTTATGTTGGCAAAGAAACATTACTCTTGGATTAGAGATGACTTCAACCCCTAAGAAAAAATTGAGCTTGCGAAGATCTTTAAGAGAAACCTTTTAGACAATTGATTATGAAAGTAGTTTAGAATGGCCGTGTAGTTCCCTGTAACTAGAAGATCATCTACATAAACCAAGAAATGTAGGGTTCCTCATTTTAAACTTGCAAGAACTCAAGAAGACCATTTGACACAAGATTGTTCGGTGTAGTTTCTAAGCATAAATTGCTCTATATTATGAGATATGTTGATCTATTTTAGTATTAGTATGCTAATTAGTCTTCATTGCAATTTTTTTTTTTGGTTGGTGCATCATTTTTATGTAATGTTCTGATTATTTTAGGGACTTGGTATATTCAAGGGTTTTTTTATTCAAACAATGTAATTAATTTAGTTTTCTTATAAGTACTAAACGCCAAATCTCCAATTATAACCTCTCCTAACCATTTGACCAAATCAATTGAGAATTGATGAGAGTTGTTAGTGTACCTTTGTTGTTATTCAAATCTGTCTTTTCTTCTAAACTTCATTGAAGAACAAGACACTTGATCATGTGATTCTTGACCAAGTTAAAGAACAAGTGCTCATTCAAATCACCACCCATCTCTTCTCTTCTGTTCCATTCCTCCTCAAAGAGAATGCAGAAAAAGAACCTTTTTTTTTTGGGATGAAATTAAAAGAACATCTTTGAGCTATAAAACAGTTGAAGTAACACGAAGTATACATATATGCTCTACTGATGAAGCAACTGAAGAGCTTTTAACAATGTTGGTCTGAACCTCTTCACATCAAGCTTGACATTCTGTTTGTCCAAATATGTTGACCTTACTGCATCCCATCCCTGTTTATGAACTGATAAAGGGTCTTTAATGATCAGATGATCCAGCTGATACTTATTGATCAGAGAGCTCTCTTTCGTCTTTATTTTATACTCCAAATACCTTAAGTTCATATCTATGGCAGGTTCTGCAAAGTCTTCTCTAGCCAGCCCATCAAGAGATCCTAAGGGAACTATTTGAATTAGAATTGCATTGTCAGGAAGGAAGACCATGTTTGTTAGTCCAGCTCCATGGATGCCCATCAATACATCACAAGAATTCACTGTTTGAGCAACACTCCCCAAGCTGGTAGAAATATTAGGCTCTGCAGTAACTACATTATAGCCCAAGCTTCCTGCCATTCTAGTTATTTTGTCAATATTTGTGAATGATCGAGAATTTCTTCTGGATATGATCAGTAGCCGAGGCCTTTTACCCATATCATCTCCTATCCCGATTGCTTGACTCCCCTTCAACCAGTAGGTTTTTCTTAGGAACTGCCTGAAATCTTTCATGGATAGCTGGTTTTGGGACTTGGATTGATCAATACCAAGTTCCTTGTGATATTGAAGGCCAATAATTATGCTTGGGTAGCAATGGATTTTTTCTTCTCTATCAATGTCAATAATGTCATATCTAGATAACATTCCGAGTATTCCTTGGAACTTGGTGATCCACCATGGTCTGTTATCTGTTATAAGAAACCGCACTTCTCCATTAAATTGTCTAGAAGTGATGTATAGTGGGATCACCAGGTCACTAAAGTCATGGAAATGGTTTCCAGAAAATCCCCCAACGGAGAAAAGGATGGCTGGAACACTTTGAATAAGGTCGCAGTGAAGACATTCCACTGAAGTTACTGACCAGTTCTTAACGAGATCCATCCCAGCTGGGTTTTCTTTTCGTACATAAGGCTTTACAACCGAAGAAATCTTTCCTACTGGAATGCCCGTTCGTGATGAAACAATAGAAATACTGGAGGAGTTCCCCTGAACTGTAACGTCCCCATTAATTTCACAAAAATTGGATATTGGTTCCCATGCATTGCACATTGGCCTGAAAGATGTGCTCTCTTCAACTTCAAAATCAAAATTTGAATGAAAAAAAAATATATATATATATATATATACATATATATATATATATATATATATATATATATATATATATATATAAGAATCCTTTATTTGGGTGAATAGGAATTTAAAAAAACACAAGTCATACATACCGTGGAGTTCCTAAAAATTTCAATTACTAGAGTTTGAATTGCTCATAGCAAATTGAGCTTTGAGCTGGGATCCATTGTGACAATGGAGTTTCATGTCTAGATGTTTCAAGTTTCTGGGATACCTAATTTCTGCAAAAAGCGCGTATCCTTGAACATTGAAATTTGATTTTGAGCATCGATGGATGATTGTAAACGCACTGCATCATAGATTGAAGTAAAGAAAAAAAAAAAAGACAATAAAACCGCACATAAGTCGATTTCATTATACTGCAATTTCAAATCAATCAGTACAGAAGTATAAAGCAAGCCTTGAAGACTACGACAAACAAATTATACTAAAAATGATGCCATGAGCATTGGATCTGATAAACGAAAGAAAATTTTCTTTTAGTAATCCTACGATTATAACTCAACCTGGCACAACCACCATGTATTCAGTTCAAAAAAAGTTACTGATGATCTTTTACAATTTTTGTCTTAATTAAGATTGATGCTACTTGAATATGGCACATTTATCTTCTACCTAATTGAAAAGGCCAACTGTTTAATTTATATATTTAGCCAAATTCTGAAGTCTCCTGGTAAAATATAAACAGTTGAAGAAAAAGTAGAACTTGCAGACAGATAGTTGGCAGTAGAAATAAGACTTGAACACGATTGAAATGCTGAATGCCATCAGCAAGCTTCCAATTAATGCTCCATATCTCAACCTCTTCTGTTTATACCAGATAAAGCCGCTGCTGGAGAATGACCTTTGGCTGTGCATTTTGCTCACTCGTCACCCCTTCATGTCAATACTCATTTAAACGAATCCAAATCCGAAGCACTGTTTTGGTTAAGCATTATTAGGCAGGTGTTAAGAGTGTTTTTTTACATAGTTAATATCTCATGAAATGGACAAGTGCATATGATCGTCCAGACAGTCATCATTTCGTCTCATTGATGTTTGCTTCGCAGACTTTGTTTATAATGAAAGTTAACTGCCGGCCATATGCATTTCATCCTTGATAGCAACGAGCCAACTAAAGTTGTTAACAACATTTTTAATTGATACAATTAATGCGATTGCTAATATTACTAAATAACAATGGCAATAGTGTATTTAAGACGACCAATCTAGCTTTACTACTTTTTTGGTTTTGGATAAAATCAAGATAATCATCTTCAAAAATTAGGAAAAAAACGCCAGCAAATCATTTTTAGTGCCCCATAAACACGCTTCAATGAGGTACTTGTCCTTGCAATATTTGGTTTCAAGCTGCAAAATCCTCCTTCGACTAGTGATTAGACATAGCTGAAGATTTGAAGGTGGCTTGTTGGTTATTTAAGAGATCGAGACATCAAGCAATATTTGATATCGAGTTCATGTAAGTGCCCTATTTGGAGAGAAAACGTACAGCTGAGTTGCATGATTACAATTAACAGACACCTCACAACCTCTGGCAATGTAGTTTTTGGATGCCATAAGGTTCCTCTAGGCTCATAGGATCCATTCTACGGTACAAAAGTGCAGGAACAGACAGAACATGATCAATATGATTAATAAACATATCCAAATTCCTCATTTTTCTATGTCACTGCATCTGCTTGATATCCAAAGGAGATGTTAAATACAGAAGTAGCACCAATATCTCAGAAAATTTTTATCACTACATTATTTTGTAGCATCTTAAAATAAATGAAATACTAATCCCAACCGGTGTCTTCCAATAATCCAGAAAACAAGTCAGAAAAACCTTTCTCTTGCAGCTCTCAGATGATTCATTAGGAGATTGCAATTGTACTTTGTAAAAGTGGCACCCCCATCAGATGTTGACATCCAAACTGAGTATCAACAAACAAGTATTTGATCTAGCAAAACTGATCAAGCAGTTGGGAAGGTAATGCCTGCTGCATTGAAGAGAATGTTACCGGACATCTTGAGAAACAAAAATATCCTTAACAGAAAAATATAGCATATCTAAGGACAGCAACACACAATTGGGCGAATGTGTAATGGTTTATTGCAACCAGAAACCAATGTGATTTACTTGAAATGCTCGCACTGTTTCCGGAGAAAAAGATGTAACACCAAAAATGCAGACTTGCAAATGTAAAATGCAAGCAGCAAGAAAAGAAAGCATCATAAGCAAATTGTAGCAAAAGAGGCTGTCACAATTTGCCAGATGGAATTGATGCAGGAATTAAGAACACTCAGTTAATCGTGTAGCCAACAAAGTCTTTCTAAAATCTTGAAAGAGTGAGAAAAAAGAAACTATGTTAATCTCAATTCTTATTACTTTTTGAAATTTAGACAAATTTTGTTAAAGGAGTAGGATAAAAGTAGCTCAAAGATCTTGTATTATTGAAATTTGGTTTCCTATGGGCGAGCAATATGGCACTCCAAAAATTTTGAGAATCAGTTAGGATGTCTGAGGGCATGGACAGTAACATAAGGCAAAATCAAGAATCCAGAGGATCACTACTAAAGCACAACCAACCAAAAGAATACAAGAGAAGCTTCAGAAATAAGTTTAAATAACTAGCCGGATGCTATATATAATTCAAATGACATTCTAAACATTGTGTGTCCAAATCCTGGCAAGTGCAAAGGAGTACTGCCTCTATTTCCTCAAATCCATCATTTTACATTTCAAGTGAGTCTTATAAATTGTTTGTTCACAATCTAAAAGGGAATACTAGGAATAGCAGAAATGTTTCTTAAAAATTCTATGAAGGAACCTACAAGAACAAGGACGCTATTCCAATATCAAAAAATGGTAGCAAGCTAGCCATCAGATTGAGATGCAGGAAGCAATAGGAAAACCAGAAGATATTTACAGCAGAGATGAGAAGCAGGAATGTAGAGTAAAACAATTTTTTAAGCTACAGCTTCAGTACCATTTACATGCAAAACATGCCAAGATTCGGCATGGAAAAAATGACATCATCAAGACAGCAAAATGAGTCAATGAGAAAATTAAAGCATTACGGTTCTTTACTTGCCAAGATGGTCTATAGAATATGTGTTTTTCAAATTGAGAAACTATGAAAGGCAAATATATACTCAACTAAGAAGATTTTAATTTTAAAATATGGCCACAAGATGTCAGGAATACAAGTGACTGTATCAAAAAACAACCATTCATTAGTCAAAAAAACCATTTTATGTGATTACCTCTACTTGCTGCGTTTAACAGCACGCCTTCCTTGACCTTTCTTGGGTGGTCCCTTACCACGCCTCTTCAACATTTCAAGCTTGGATAGGCGCTCTTCTTCTTGACGGGCCATGACAAGTGGATCATCACTCTTGATGTCGTACGGGTACCATTCTGCAACCTTGTCACCAATGAGCCTTTTGCGTAAAAGCTTATGTGGTGATCTCTGCCCTGTTGGGTTAAGTACATGTCCAAATGTTCTTGCTCTAGCTTCAGCAACCCCTGCTACGACAGCTGAAGCCAACATGTTCTTCAAGCCACCAGCACTTATCCTCTTTAAAATTATGTTAATTATCTTTCAGTCAATTCTGTTAAACGTTCAAAAGAAAATTTCAGCAATAGCATACCAAAAAATCAAAATTTTTTAGGAAACAAGATGTCTAGATATCTCACTCGAAACCCAACCTAATTACCAGGTTTACAGCAGATATGTGTTGTACAACGTGGGTCAGAAATTTCCACAACCTGTTCTAAAGCAAGAACAATAACATTGTTAAATAACATGCCATTCCAATTCTCAACTGAAAGAAAGAAAAAAGAAAAACTTAAAAAGGAAATGATAAAGCTTAATCGTAAACTTGAAAACCATTTTCATCAGAATCCAATCTTCTATCACCTGTCTAGTTATTTTTTGAAGCATACAGTACTATAATTCATGGATTAAAGAAAGGGGCATCTTCAGCTAAGCTGATTTTTAAGGAATTTCGTGCTAAACAACAAAAACTCAGATTCCAATGATGAAACAACAAAGAAACTAAATTCTTTATTAAAAGCTCTTTTATATTGTTCAATAAGGATGCAATGCATACCGTGGTTCGTTTTGCTATGCAGCGATAGCGTCGTCAAGATTGCAGGAAAGAGAGTCTTTTCACTAGGTTTATAGGCTCTAGGGGTAACTGTAGTTTACTACTCGTAAAGGAAGAGAGGAAACAACTGGAACTTGGGCCGACTTGGACCCAATAACAACGCATTCACGGATTGGGTTATGCATTACTACAATCGGATCATCACAATATTTGTGGCGTTTTGTTAAGATATCATGTTCATATATTTGTGTGATGTTTATTTTGTATTAAATTAAATATTTATAAAATAATAAAATTTATATATTATAATTCATATCAACATATTAAATAAAAAATATATTTTTTTTTTGTTTTTGAACAATTCATATATGATTTTTATTAAATTTTAAATTGTATTGCATATTATATTATTATATGTGTCTAAAATTGTCAAACTCATGTTGATTTTGTTATATTAAAATTTTGAAAATGAGACAAAATAATGGCAATGTGCATAATCGATTCAAATTTCAAAGAAGTTTGGATCATTAAATTTTTGAGTTTTTTTCCCAATTTTTCCTATTAAACAATTATAAGATTATTTTTTCCATTTTATGTAAAATCATTGGATCAATTAAATTAAATGAAATTAAATTTCTAAGAAGGCAACCCCAAAAATTAGAATTTAAAATTTTTATATATAATTAATAAAATTTTTAAATTTCATAAATAAGGTTAAAGGAATGATAAGTATATACATTTTATATTTTTTAATTAATTTTATTATAATTTGCAAGATCATACATTATCTTTAAATTTCATTAGTGATGAATGATATAATTTTTAATGAGTTTTTTTTTTTAAATAACACGGAAGATGAAAATTAAATGAATGATTTGGAAAAGTTAAATAGTATTTTGACTTTTGGTCGTGACAGGAGCACAGCCGTGTGAAACTTTAGCTGTGTGGCCATTGTTGGGGTAAGAAGTCAGTCCACAACCATTTAAATATTGTAATTTTTGTAGTAGTGGTCGGATTGTCGTTGAGCAGATGTGACATATTCAACATGAGTTGTTGGTGCGATAAATGATTGATACTTATCGTATAGGGTAATGGACCAAGAATTACTTACAAGGAATTACGTATTAAAGAGTCGATACAAAAGTACTTTTAACAGGGAAATAGTAGACTACTAATTAATTGTTATATGTTTCGTTTTGGTTGAAATATTCAAGTCCGCCAATATAGGAATAGGAGAGAGACGAGCTTAAGGGAGGGGATTGTCATAAGCGATTACCCCAATAAAATATGTCGAATTTTATTCGCTTTGGCCAGATCCCAAATGCTATGGCTAATTTAATATTAGTCTTGTGATTAGAAAAAGTTGAGTTACTTTTTTTTTTTAGAGTCTCCTTCGGAACTGGGTTTGTATAGGAGCAGTCATAGTCTTGTTTCATAAGTTTTTTTCCTTGAGATCAGCGATGAGTTTTGGCCTTTAGGGATCAGTTGGTGCAATAAAAGTTTCTCCGTTTGTTTTTTTCAGCTACAGTGCGACTGAGGTGGTATTCGATGAGTTATGGAGGATGATTTGGATCAACTGTGGCAGAACCTGTCATTCACAGAGGAAAAGAAAGCAGGGGTGAAGGTATATGATAGTGTAGATACAGTAGAAAAGGGGGAAGGTAAGATTTATACGGTAAGGCCTTTTAACAAAGAGGCGATGATCAGCATGTTTAAAATCATGTACAGGCTAACAAAAATGGTTGAAATAGTATGCTTAAAGGAAAATATATTCCTGTTCAAATTTGATGCAACGAGCGACAAAAAAAGAGTTATTGAACAATTGCCATGGACGTTTGAAAATATTAAAGATCATCGCAACTTTGATATTATTTATTAAAATTACGATAATTCTGATATTATTTGTTAAATAAAAAGTCACGATCTAATCAAGCCAACAAAAACGAAATCAATTAATCAATTAATCACATAAAAAATAATAATTTAATATGATTCGATTTAATCGATCTATATTCACGGATTAAAAACAAGATCTATTAGTTGTAAAAAATTATAAATATACATCAAATCAATTTTACTCAATAATTAATATCTACAGACTATCTCAATCTCTTTTAATCTTATAGTATATTCTCAATCCAAATAAATACATACACATATATATCCTTTTAACACAAATAAATACATACTTATATGTACACATTCATCATACCTATATAGACATTCGCAGTCTCTTCTAGTTCACTTACAAATATATAAACATACATACCTATAAGACGTAAATCTTCAGTAGTCATATAAGGTGTTTATCCCATAAAATCCTATAACTCTCTTTCATCTTTTTTTCATACATAACCTTATAAAGACTATCTATTTATAAGCATACAAACTTGCTTATTAAGAAATTTTTTCCTCTTAAAATTCTTTTCGTACAAGTTAAACTTACATATTAAGAATATCTTACCTCTTAGAATTCTTCTTCTGCAAGTTTTTTTGTCCATCAAGCAATATCTAGTCAATATCAAATAAATCTCTTATAGAATTTAAGTCACTATTTTCAACAATCTCCACCTTGACTTAAATTTCATCAAATCATCTATTTTTATGCTAGACATGCTTGACTTCACCTGTAATAAAAGTCTCACAATCATCTTTTCTTTTGTGTCTTCACATTTCATGTAAATCGATCTTCAATCCTTAAAACTTAAACCCAAACTCTTCTCTTAAATCGAGCTTCTATTGGCTTACTTGTTCCTATGGCTTACTTGTTCCTATGGCTCAAACTATGATTTGATATCACTTATTGGAGATCACTACAGCTCTAATACCATTTATTAGGATCACGATAGCTCTGATACTACTTGTTGGATAAAAAGTCACAATCCAATCAAGCCAACGAAATTGAAATCAAATAATCAATCAATCAATCACATAAGAGATAATAATTTAATATGATTCGATCCAATCGACCTACGTCTACGGATGAAAAATAAGATTTACTAGTTATAAAAAATTACAAATAAACATCAAATCAATCTCACTCAATAATTAATACCCATAGGTTCTCTCAATCTCTTTTAGTCTTATGAAATATTCTCAATCCAAATAAATATATACCTATGTGTACCATTTCAATACAAACAAACACATACTCATATGTGCTAGGATATGATTCACATGTGAGTAAAAAAATCTCATATTATTAGAAAATTTGAATCAGATGTCTTATATATGCATGAAAAACTCAAAAACCTAATAGCTTAAGCTTTTGAGCTCAAGTGGTATCCAATAGGTATATATAGGCTCTTTTGTGTGCTTTCTTAGGCTTCAAGTGTAGTTTATATCCTCAACAAGTGATATCAGAGCTGTGGTGATTCCTAATAAGTGATATCAGAGATAAAAAGTTATGACTTTGAGTTTTAGTAGTGTTACTAGTGAGAGATTATTGATAGATCGAAGGTTGACCGCATCCATCAATTTCATGTGCTAAAATATCGGTATTAAAAGGTTTAACTTGGATGCAATAAGTATATGATAATATGCAGAAATGGAATACCTAAATGGATAATATGTTGAGTCAACTTGGAGTGTAAGCTTGAAAGAGTACTGAAACAACCTAAGTGGCAAGCTTGAGTGTTGTAGCCTAACCCAAAAGCGCACTAAAAATGTAAGATTATCTGGCTCAAATGAGATGTTGATAGAACTTACTTGTATAAGAGAGCTGAGGTGAGACTTGATCAAAACTCATAAGTGAACAGAAGAGATCGTTATGATATGGTTCACATGTGAGTAAAAAATCTCACACATCATTAAGAAATCTAAATGAGATATTTTATATAAGCATGAAAAACCCAAGAACCTAATAGCTTAAGCTTTTAGGCTCAAATGGTGTCTAACATATATGTATGGGCTCTTTAAGGTGCTCTTATGGGCTCTAAGTGTGATTTATCTCTCCAACAATATGTACACATTCATCATACTTATGTGAACCCTTTTAGTCTTTTCTAATCTGCTCACAAACATATAAACATATATACACTCATAAAACATAAATCTCTAATAGACTTATGAGATATCTATCCATAAAATCTTATAACTCTCTTACATTTTTTCTCATATCTAACTCTATAGAGACTTCATCTATTTATAAGCATACAAATTTACCTATTAAAAATCCATTTCCTCTTACAATTCTTCTTCTGTAAGTTTTTTTATCCATCAAGTAATATAGTTAATATCAAATAAATCTCTTATAGGATTTGAATCACTATTTTCAATAGAAAAACACCTCTTAGTAATGGTAAAATATGATGAAAGTTTATGGCCTGATGAATATAGATTTAAATTTATCCTTTTTGGATAAGAGTTTATGATCTCCCATTAGGGATAAGATCACAAAAGATTATAAAAAGCATAAGGAACAATCTTGGCAAATTAATGGCTATTGATGGGTTACTTGAAATAGGAGGCTAGCCTAGGTTTTAAAGACTAAGGGTGATGATCGACATAACAAAGCCCTTGAAGAAAGCCATGAGAATAGGAAAAAAAAAGAGAAGGAAGAAAGTGAAAGGTAAACTTAAGTATGAGAGATTACTATCGTTCTACTACAAATGTGAAAAGCTAGGCCATATTGAAGTGGACTATCAAATTAGAGATCATATATATGAGAGTAGGATGCAACAATGTGGTGAGTGGATGAAGGCATCTTTGGTAAAGAGGAACGGTTTTAGTAGTGAAGCCAACCTTTCTTATGAAAAACCCATGATAGTGGGCAGTCAAATGAATCAATTGACGGGAGGTGGCATCACATACAAAAGACTATAAGAGAGAAAGAATAATCGAGATTGGAAGCTAAGAAATTAAGGCATGTAGAATCATAATGTATACAGAAAATGAAAAAGAAGGGATATGAACATAATAAAGGGATTAATGGCTGAAATCATGTAGAATCATAAAGTATAAAGAAAACGAAAAAGAAGACGTTTATAGTAAAAAAATGCCACTAAATTTAGCAGCGTTTATAGTAAAAAACATCATTATATTTTGGCATTTAGCAGCGTTTTTAGATGCAAATACGCTAAATTAAGAATTTTATTTTTAAAATTTTTTTAAATATTGCTTATTATCATTAAATAAAAAATATTAAAAGAAATAAAAAAAAACCTAAATTCATAAATTGAATATTATAAATACGTAATTTGGTCCAATATGATGGAACATAAAGTTTAATACATACAATAACATTCAAATTATTTTAGTACATTAACCAAAAATCTAAAATGTATGGAATTGATAACTACATAGATTTTAAATACTACTATTTGATAAAAGATTTTTTTCACATTGGTCACTATCGTACTCAAGAACCTACTGACTTAATCTTGACTTTTGCATCCAACTCTTATTCATTTAGTACTTGCTATATTTTCAGACCAAAATTATATAATTAAATTAGATAAAAATGAATTGCAAAATACTTAATTATACTAAGTATTAAATAAAAAAAATAACAAGACGATATCAGAGATAACCTATTATAATGTAAAAAAAAAAACATATTACGTGTCATGCATTGATATCATATTTTTTAAACAATGCAAAAAAGAAACAGAGATAACATTAACAAAAAATTTATGTAAATTTTAATCAAATATTCATACATCTAGAAACCGATAGTGTAATAGAGAAATATTAAGTATGTGGTAAGTACTTTACCTTACAATATTCATAAATGACTATAGATGTCTTTTCTAGTTCTCTATCTTCTGTTGTTGATGATTTTCATGCATAAAAAATCATTTGAAGCAAAATTATGTCATTCATTAAACACCATAATCTGAAAAAACAAACAAAACAAATTCTAAGATAAAATTAAAAAAAAAACATAATAGACTATTTCAAAATGGTTTGCTAAGGATATCATGAATGAATCAATAAATTTATGTTAACAAGTAATAATTTTTTAGTAATTTCAAAAATATTTTGTTAAAAAAAAACTAAACCTAAAATTTCATTCGTGTTTATAATTAAATTCAACGTTCAATTTCAAGTTTTTTTTTTTAAAAAAAAAACCTACTTCTTTCATTTTCTATTCTATCTTAAATTTTTCTCACCAACCAAAAAAAACCAAACTCAGAATTGCAATAACAAAACAAATTGGTAAAACAGAAAAAAAGAATGGCAAAACACTGAAAATTGCCAATATTGAAATGAAGCTTACCAATGGAGCTTGAACGACGACAGAAACGTAACAAATCAAATAGGAAGTTTAAGGATTTGACCCAATAAATCAAACATAAAGTTTAAGGATTTAACCCAAAATGCAAGAAAGCTAGCTTGAAATTTGTAAAAATGAAAGGAAAAAAGATAAAAATTGAGCACAAAATGATTGAAACATAGGCAGAAAATGACAAGAAAGTGACTCAAAATAAGCAAAAATAAAAAAAAATGAGTAGAGAAAAAAAAAGCAAAAAGAAGGTCTTGGAAGTTTAAAATTTAAAAAAAATTTAGCAGAGGGAAAATGTAATTATTCAAGACTTTTTGGGCTAAAAACGTTTTCAATAATCCTTTTCAATTTTTTTTTTGAGATTATTCAAGGCGTTTCTAACTAAAAACACATTGAATAATCCCCTTCAATTAAAAATTAAAAGGATTAAGCCAAAAACGCCTTCAATGATCTCCTCTAATTTTTTTTTAGGATTATTCAATGCATTTTTAGTCAGAAAACACCTTAAATAATCCTTTACAAAAAATTAAATGGGGTTGTTCAAAGTATTTTTGATCAAAAATATCTTAAATAATCTCTTACAAAAAATTGAATGAGGTTATTTAAGGCATTTCTAGTAAAAAATGCATTGAATAATCACCTTGAATAATCACGTATTATCTGATCTGTGATTTTGTTAATTTTATTTGATTAATTGTAAATTAATTCTGTGATTTTGTTTTGCAAGAAAATCAAATCATTGAATCCAAGATCTTCACGTTTATTCTTTTGGTTATCAAACTTTCAATTTTTTTTTTTTTTTTGCTTTTTTACCCTTTTTTTTACTTTGACTTTGACTAAAAAAAAGTAAAATTAAACAAAAAATCAAACCAAATCAAGATAAAAATCAAATTAAAATTTCTTTTGAGCTTTTAACCTATTATGTCTAAAGTTTTTCAATCAAGGCTTAATTTATGGTCAAAGACTAGTTTCAATTTCCAAAAAATTCTCGAACAAAATTAAGTGTCTACAATAACAAGAGTAAGAGTGATCATCTGGGATTCAAACAGGTTGGTTATAGGTACACATATGTTTAAATGGCCATGGATAACAATCTCTTTAATTATAGAAACACTTGCTGCACTAAGAGTGCTAGAAATGACAAAAGACATGAAATTTAATGAAGTGATCCTAGAAAAAGATAACTTGACAGTGGTGAACCATTTTAATATGGTAGTGCAGTATTACTTAGCAGTTGATATTCTTATTGATAAAGCTCATACACTTGCAACACAATTTGCTGCCTGTAGAGCAGTGTATACAAAAAGAAATGAAAATGAGGCAGCTTATAAGCTTGTTAGATTTGGATTACAAGATCGGAAGGGTTTATATTAGGTAGAGGATTATCCAAATTTTATCCATAGCATTGTAATGATTGAGGCAACTTCCAATTTATGAATGAAGTTCATGTCTCAAAAAAATAATTAAAAAAATGGAAAACAAGGTTATCGACTCATGTAAGGCACAAATAAAAAATAGATGATCATCACATAGTAGTCACATTAGAGACCAAGTCAAAGATAATGTTGTAAGATGATTTAATGATTGATTCTAATTTAAAATTCATTCACCTTTGTATCTTGTATAAAGATAGTACTACATCAATGAAATCAAATAAGGAATTCAATACCAGATACATAGTTATCTACCATTTTAACACACCACATGTAATTTGAGATTCATGCTTTCATCGCTCATCTTCTTTTTTTTATTCTTTTTCAATATTCTTTTAGTTTTGAAGTTTCTCAAATTTTTTTCCTTTTTTTTAGTCTTTTTGTTTTCTTATTCAAAATTATAAAATGAAAATGAAGCTTATATCAGTTGATTCATGTAATCACTCTTAAAAAATGACATTTAATAAGTTTAGAGTTTGAATTCTAACACCTGTAATCACTTTATCTGTTCTCAGGTTACAGACTCTTATATACCAAAAAAATTACAAGATTTGTTTGGTCTGTTTTTGTTTTACCTTGATTTAAAAGAAATTTGTCCAACATTTATTGTATTCTAAAATGAATTACAATGATTTTCTCTCTTTTCCTTTTGTTTTTGTTTTTTTTTTTTTTCTATGCAAAAATTTATTTATTCTTATGAGATTTTTGAAATATTGCTTTAGTTTTGCTGCTCTTTTTTTAGTTAAGTTTATTGTTTATCCATTCTTATTTTTAAAAGAAGTTAACGAAATGGCAATGGTCAAAGCCTAGGAAATAGTGCACTAGAAGAAACCTTACCATCGCTAAAAGCCTCATTTTACCAATGAATTTCAAATTTGATTGGCATTTTCATTTGTAAAAGTTGGTGCCTTGTTTTCAATGAAATTTACATCAAAATTTTGTTGCCAAAAATGATATTATTGATAGATTTTGTAAAAAAAAAAAAATCATTGATATAATTTTTATAAAAAATGTCTTTTTCTATATTCAAAACTAAAAAAAAATCTTAAAAAAATATGGATTTTAGACACAAATTCCATTTAAATTATTTATATCAATTTAAAAAATTAAATAAAATTAATATGAATAAAAAAATAAAAAATAATAATTTTTAATTAAAACACCAAATTCCCCATTTCTTTCTCTAGACTGATTTCCTGGTACTTGCTACTTACCCACTTTCCCCAACACCCTCTCCCAAAGCTTCCCTTCTCCAGCACTTTTCTCCTTTTAGAATTCTATTTTCTTTTAGTGGTAAAGAAGGTCCAATGGAAGTTCAATTGTTATCGATGACGATGATAAATTTAGGTTTTAAATTTCGATTCTTTGTAATGCAAAGACAATTGAAAAAAAGGTTGAGGAAAGCATCTAGATAAAATTTGAGACAATTTAACCACCAAATGATGGTTGGTCATCAAGTTTTGGATTTAGGTTTTTAAATAGAGAAATGTAGAGTTAGAGAGAGAAAAGGAAGAGAAAAATATAAGAGTTTTTATACTAACAACATATATGTGTTTTGAGAAGAGAAAAAAAAAAAAGCGAAGTGAATCATACTTGCGATCATATCTAAAAATCCAACTTGATCCGCCTAAATAAGGCCTATAAACTTTTGTAGTCTAGTAAATTTGGGTTTACATTAAAACTTAGGGTTCATTTGGATGGACAATGAGATTAGTTCTGGTGAAATTAAAAATAATGGTGAAAGTAAGATTAGTTACTACAATAGTAAGATTAAAATCAATGATAGAAATATATGTTTGGATGCAAATATGTGGTGGCGGTGAGATAAATTTTAATAAGATAAAAAATGACCATTAAGGACATTAGTTTAAAATTTATATGTAATAAAAATTTAAATTATTTAACTTAATTAATAAATAATAACAAATTTTAAAAAATATTTTTATGATGAATAATAATTTTGTTAGTAAAATAAATAATAAAAAATAAAAAAATAACAATAATATAATAAATAGTATTTATGTTATATTAAATTAGAATTATTTTATACATTTTTTTAAAATTAAAATAAAAAAGAAAGAGAATAAGTCAAATTAAAATGATAAAAAGGTAAAAAAAAAATTAATTAATTGTGCATTTGTTGGCTTAACCTAAAAACTCCAGTGAAAAAAAATTAATTTTCGCATCTCAGATTATACATTCAAATGAATGTTCAGTGTGTTGAGCACGATTTTTCAAAACAAACGTAGTCCCATTAGGGTACATTTGAATCCAAATGCAACCTTAGTGAGGTATAATGGTTTTTGAGTTATTTATCTTTTATGTTACATTTGTTCAATATTTTTTTTTCATATATATTCAAAATAATGTAATGAATAAATATATTATGATTTAAAATAATTAAAAGATTTTGGAAGAGTTCTAACAATTAATTATTATTTCTCATTCAAATAATCATAAATATATTACAATAATAAATTTATAGATATATTATTATTTCATAAAATAAAAAACTTGACAAAATATATACATTCTCAATTAATTATTATTATTTATTAAAATATCGCAGGGGAATTATAAAAAGCTGCAATTCACTAAGAATATTTATTATTCTATACCATTCATAAATAATTAACGAAAGAAAATACTAATATGTAAAATTAATAAAAAAATCAAAATTATTTTTATAATCCCAATATTTAGTGAGTAGAAATTCATAATTACATATGTACAAATAAGACATAATAAATGTACAGTTATCTTACAATATTTGTACATTAGTAACTATAAAAGCAAAGGTAATTGGACATAAAAGATTGTGATTGATAGTACATTTTCAACATAACCTTATATTTGAAAAATATAATTTCTAAATTCTCTAGACATAGGGCTTAATTATCCATTGGACATATATTTTTTGATAATTATCCATACGTTACATATAAAAAATTGCATGTAATTGTGATTTTACTTCAATATTGAGTATGAAGTCAAAAAAATAATTGTAATTTTTTACTAATTTTATATATTAATATTTTGTATTGATTATTTATGACCATGCGTATACATCATATGATAATTATCGTTGATAGACAGCTTCTTTTTGTAAGTCTCCCTCGTCCTTGAGTCAAAGTCATAATTTACACATTGTTTTTGTCCTCATGTAAATTATTTCTCTGATGAACATAAATGGTTGGACTGTCACTGTACCAATCCTGAAATTACTTTAACACCCTCGAGTATCAGTGCTGGGCATTAGGGTCTTAGGGACATGTCAAAGTCTAAAAAAAAAGGTTTGAACCATAAATTATGAAGTCTTGGTAGCTCAATGGAACATCCCAATCCCATCATCTTCTCTCTCACAGCAACAGATATGGAGGGAGAAGAGAAGTGCTCTCTAACTTCTCCTTTGATTCAAATATCAGGAGAAAATGATGGTTTTACAGTGAGCAACAGAGATAGAAGAAAGAAACTTGTTGATGAAGTGAAGAAACAGCTATGGCTAGCAGGACCTCTAGTAGCGGTGAGTCTGTTGCAGTATTGCATACAGATGATATCAGTGATGTTCGTTGGTCATCTCGGTGAGCTAGCTTTGTCTGGTGCTTCAATGGCTACTTCCTTTGCAAGTGTCACTGGTTTCAGCTTGCTGGTCAGTACTTTGGTTTATAATTAACTTTTTCTTCTTCTGCTACTTCAATTTTTCTTGCTACATAATTCTATGTTATTGTTTAGTTTTCTTCTTGATTTGCAAGGTGTAAAATGTTGGACCAACGTTTCGTGAATTTTATTTTTTTTATTTATTAAATTTAATAAATGATTGATCATAAATAATATTTAAAAATTATTTAATTAGATAAACATAATAAATTTTGTTTAATTTTAATTTGTTTACATTCAAATAGAGCATTTCATGAATTATGAATATATTTATTTTTATTCATTTATATTAATTTATTAAATTATAGAAACAAACATAAAAATATTTTAAAATTTATTAATTAAATAATAGATAATAAATATTATAACAAAATTTATTAATTTTTTTATTTATTAAATTTAATAAACATAACAAATAACATTAATTAAATAGACAAAATATAAACATAAAAAGATGCCTTCAATTCGTTTAGTCTACTAATTTGTTTGAGGTAGATGAGGGATTTGTGTACGTAGTCAAAATCTGTGTATGTATATCTTCAAGTGTCGGCTCGCCTATGGCCGGATGGACCCATGAAAATATTTTAATAATTTTGTGTCAGAAAAATAATTTATTATTAAGTATTTAATAATATATTGAATTTTAATTAAAAATATTAATATTTAATAATAAATTTAAATTATGCAGTTTGTCCGGTTTTGGCCGTAATCTAGATTCGAGGTTCATGTTCTTGACTTTTTTATTAGGAGCTCTTGGTTTTTTTGTTCACGCATTCATTGAACCTAGATCATAAATATAGGGATAAAAACGAATCACAAACTTTTTTTTTTTTTACGTTATTGTATGTAAAAAACAAAAAAGTATCACATCAAGAGTATGGCAAGAAATTAAGCTCATCAAGGGTGCGGCAATAAATCAAGCATTATGCCTCCACCTTGATGTAATTTTTTTGAGAAAGGGTTCTCTATATTATTTAAAAATTAGTAAAAAATTTTGTTATTTTATTTAAAAATTAATAATGCGTTTTGACTTAAATTTATAATTAATATTTACTTAAATTATTTTTATTTTTTAATTAAGTTTTATTTATTTTTATATTTATTTTAAAATCATTTAATTTCAATCATGAATTTATATGAAAATACATTATTAACTCTTAGATAAAGCAATGAAAACTTTCATTACGTTTTAAGCAATGGAGAGGATCTTTTCTCAATTTCTTTTTACATTAGGTGAAAATCCGCTCGTTATTGCGAGTTAAATTATTTTTATTTTTATTTATTGAAATTTTTATAAAAAAATTATTTAATTAAAAATATATAAAATAAATAAGGATGATACATGGATACTAAAATTTATTTTTTATTATTACAAAATATATTGAACAAAAAATAAATATATAAAGTAAAAGAAATCATAAAAATAAAAATGAAAAAAAGGACAGAAAAAAACTCATGCAAAGTGACACATAAACATCCCATTGAATTTAAAATATTAATTTTTTAAATTAAAATACTAAAAAAAAATTTTAATATAATACATATATATCTATAAATATAAAATTAAATTAATAATAAAATATATATTTTTATATATACCTTGAAATGAGTTGGCACAAAACATTCTAAACAAGTTTCCTCTCCAATCTCATATCTTATAAAAAATTTGACCAATTCCAACTCGATTTCAATTTTTAAAGAATCGCTCCTATTGGATTAGGATGGATCCCCGATAGATACGAATTGTTATGGCATTTTTATCAATCAATTTTTTTGTTACAAAATTTATCTAATTAAAAAATACAAAAAAGACATAAAAAAAATCAAATAAAGATATTATGTGAAAATTTCCATTTGTCTCTTTTTTAAACAAAATTGTTTTTTTTTTAAAATAAGCATTAAGAACACAAAGAAAAGGAAAAATTGAAAAAAACTAAAAAAAAAAAGGAAAAAAGATTTTATTGAGGTATTATATGGACACCCCAAGTAAGTTTAAAATATGTTATTATTTAATTTAACCATTAAATAATAACTTAATTAATTAAAAATCTAAACAATAAAAATTAAAATTAAAAAAAAATAAAAATAAAAAAGGACCAATGAGTTGCCATTTCAATATTAAAATTTAATTTAAAATGTTAATATGTTAAATTATGATATAAAATAATAATTTTATTCATATAATATACATATATAAATATAAAATTAAATAAATAATGAAATATATATTTTTATATATACTACAGAGTGGGTTGGGACAAAACATTCTAAATTCGCTTTTGTCTCATCCCAATTTTTTTATAAAAAAGCAATCCAACTTGACTCAATACATTTTTTTACAAAAACACTCATATTAAATTGAAATGAATAGAAAATTGTCGAATACGATTGTTTTGCTATCTTTATTGATCAACGCATTTTGATGTAAAATTAATCTAATTAATAAAATAAAATAAAATAAAAAAGAAAAACATAAGAAAATAAACAAATATGGGTTCTGCTACATGGACATTTTTATTGATATTATATTCTTATAACATTTATCTAAAAAAAAAGAAAAAGAAAAAAAATCCCAATCTGAGTGAGTTAGATCAAAACTTATTGAATACAAGTTGTTTTGATATCCTTGTTCATCGATTCCTTTTGTTACAAAATTTATGTAATTAAAATAATACAAAAAAAAAATTGAATATGGGTGCTATGTGGACACCTTCATTAGATTTTTTAACAAATTTATTTAAATTTTAAAGAATTAAAAAAGACAAAAAAAGTTAAAAAAATAAAAGCTATGTTAATACCTTAAATGAATTTTGAACAAAAGTCACAATTAATAAAATTTATACAATAGAGGAAAGGATTACATCTTAATTATATATAAATAAAATATTTTTATTAAATTAAAATATTAAATAAAAAATTTTATTAATATAATAAAATAAATAATTAAAAATATAATTATGTATACTGGGGGCAAGATGGATGGTCTTAAACCTACTTTTAGCTTGAACCCAATTTCAAAAAGAAAAACTTCACTCCAATCTCAAATTTTTTAAAAATTTATACATTTTAGGTCGAACTAAATAGAAACTTATGTGACATGAATTATTTTGTCATTCCTATATTTATTATTTTTCTTACAAATTTTATCTAATTTTAAAAAATCAAATTTTTTTTAAAATCATAAGAAATGACAAAAAAAAATCAAATGACGATAGCACATAGATTTATTAAATTTAGATATAGATAGTAATTTTATCAATATAATACAAATATATAAATATAAAATTAAATGAACAATGAAGCATATATTTATATATACATGGGTAGAATGAAACATCCTACATTTGACATTACCCCGATTTTTTTAAAAAAACTCATCTAATCTCAAATTAAAAGGAATACATTTCTTAGATCTAAATGAATCAAAATCTATTGGATACAGGTTGTTTAGTAATACATATCTTCCTTGACATTTTTCTTCAACAATTTATTTATCAATTTTTTTTATGCAAAATTATTTAATTAAAAAATAAAAAACAAAAAAAAGTTTAAGGAAAAACAGAAAAATGCCACATATACACATTCTTTTGTTTTTGTTTTTTTGAAAAAGATTTAGTTTAAAAAAAAAACTAAAAAGGAAGAAAAAGATGAAAAGCAAAAATTAAAAAAAAAAAAAGACAAAAGTTTAAGTTACTATAACACATTAACAATGATGAGTTTTTCTTGAAACATTTATATCATAGATTTAAAAAAACAAGAGCTAAAAAAAAATCAGGCTGTGACATCTGCAACTTTGTTAATATCATTTTCATAAAAAATTATCAATAAAAAGAAAAATAATTAAAATATATATTTTAAATAATAATATCAAATGTGCTCCATATTCAAGAAATTTTAAATTTTTTAAAAATATTTATTAAATATTTTAAATAGAAAAATGAAAATTAAATAGGAAAAATGAAAAAAAAATCAAATAGTTTAACATGTGACATATTTTTAATATCAAATGGGTTTTACAAAAAAATTAAAAATTAAAAAATTATTTTTAAATATTAAAAAAAAAGAATAGGAAAAAATAAACATGTGATATACTCTTGATATTAAATCACATCCACACAAAAAAATAAGATTTAAAAAATATTTATTAAATGTTTTAAAGAAGAAAAAGGAAAAAGGTAAAAAAAAAAGCAAAAAATAAAATAACATTTGATATAAGTGAGTTTTACACATAAAATAAAATTTTTCAAAAATATTTTTTAAAAAAAATTATTAAATATCTAAAAAATACAAAAAAAAGCAAAAGAAAAAATAAATAAATAAAAGCAACAATGGCCACAATATATTTCCATGCATATGGAGAATTAATATTATAGATATAGGCTTTCCATTATTTAAAGTAAGTAAAGTTTGTGGAAACTATCTCAATACATCATGAGAAATTAGACCATGTCACTCATAGGCTTGGTTGGATCCAATCTACAAGATTAATTTTTAAATTTAAGTTTGATTTGATTCAGTTTTAATAAATATTTTTTAATTAAATAACTACTTTTTATTTAAGTTTAATTTCAAAACATGTTAAATCTTCATCTTATTTTAATTATAATAAAAAAATTGTCTTCTTTCGCCCACAAATGTATATAATATATAATCTTTGTGCTAAACTAAGTAAATTCATATGTTTTGTGGGTTGTTATTTTTTACCTATTATCTTTTATGTGTTTTTTTTTTTTTTTTTTGTAAATTTATTTGCTTTATATTTAATTGCTATGTCCATGTTACAACATAAAAAATGAACTTAGGGAGAGGTTTAAGTGCGAAAATGATTAATCGAACCTACCCAACATAAAGAATAAGAAAACATTTTATATCCGAATATTTGATTCAATAAGTGATACATTTAATTTAAAAATTGATACATAATCTTCTTCTTTGAAAGAGTTCAAATCTCCTATTCTTCTAAATAATAATTGTAGCACCCAATTGGGCCTG